CTTCCTCCGGCCACCTCTGGCTTCCTGCGGTGTACCGGGCCATTCTCGACTCGTCTGGCAATGCGTGCGCGGCATTCAACACGCGCTCGCCAGTTCCCGTCGGCAACCGCCATCGCGGCCGCATCAGCTGTACCAAACCGGCTGGCCGGTGTGACTTCGGCCCCCAGTTGTGCCAGCTTTGCTTCTTATGTTGTGGGAGGGCGGGTGGGACTGGGCATGCCATGCTTGACTCGCTCGAGCTGGCTAGCTTGACTCTTACTCTTACTCTTACTCTTACTCTTACTCTTACTCCTACTACTACTACTACTACTACTACTACTACTACTACTACTACTACTACTACTACTACTCTGACAACTACTACTCTTACTACTACCACTACATCTACCACTACCACTACTGCTACTAGTTCCACTACTACCACTACTACTACTACTACTACTACTACTACTACTACTACTACTACTACTACCACTACTACTACTACTACTACTACTACTACTACTACTACTACTACTACTCCTACTACACTATACTACTACTACTACTACTACTACTACTACTACTACTACTACTGACTGCTGCTGCTGCTGCTGCTGCTGCTGCTGCTCTACTCGTACACTTACGACTACTACTACTACTACTACTACTACTCTACTACTACTACTTACTACTACACTACTACTACTACTACTCTAACTACGACTACTACTACTACTACTACTACTACTACTACTACTACTACTACTACTACTACTACCACTACCACTACTACTACTACTACTACTACTACTACTACCACTACTACTACTACTACTACTACTACTACTACTGCTGCTGCTGCTGCTGCTGCTGCTACTACTACTACTACTACTACTACTACTACTACTAGTGCTACCACCACAACGACGACTACTACTACTAGTATATTACTGGAACTATGACCACTGCTTTGACACTCCGTAGCTGCGCCCCCCGGAATCTTGCTGCCACCTGCCAGGGGACATGTAGATTATCTCCGCCAGAGCCCCGAAGTTCATTACGTATGGGATTACGTCCCGGTTTGCAGGGTTAGTGTATTAGAACTGTCGGCCCAGCTTCCACGGCCGCCCGCGCAGGAGCCAGCGCCGTCGGCGCCACCGCCCGACTTCGCCGGGCGCGGCACCATCGCGGGGGAGAGGCCGGTCCGTCAGGTGCAGCGACAAGTGGGGAGATGTGGCAAGGGGGGAGGATGCATCGACCCCCAATCGCCGACTGATCGCCGATAGGGCTCCATAGCCAGCCCCGCCCAGTTGCGCGCGGCTCTGGAATCGGGAGCCTGTCGCCGACCGATCGGCGATGCATCGCCGATGACAAGTCGATGTTCCCCCCCCCCCCTTTGACCCAGACATCTGTATATATATATATATATATATATATATTATATATATATATACACATGGACCCTGGGGGAGGTCAAACATGTCCATACCCAAGCTCGCTGGGGTCCCAGGACGTCGGTTCCACAGGCGGTGGATATGAATAGATTCCCGCCTCGCATGGTGGCTTAGGGCACGGGGGTGAGGGCCAGCCAGGGCGGGGTGCATCGTGGGGACTCCCTCGGTCTGGAGCCTGGACCCAAAGAACCGACGCTCCAACATAGTTTGGGCAGCAAGATTTTTGGCAGTCTTGGGCCTCCGGGGGCCCTCGCCGGCGTCAAAGAACGACCCGGGACGAGAAGCGCGTCGAACAAATTGGAGCGGCCAGACGTCCAGGTTGCCCGTATCATTGGATGCCAGGCTTTTTCGGTCGCGACCAGTCGCGACCGATCGCGACATGCCAGTCGCGACCGATCGGCCGCGACCGATTTGTAAGCAAATCGGCTGCGACCGATCCCGGAGCTTGAACCAGAATCGGCTGCGACCGATCTGGAAAATTCCAGTATCCAATGATCAGGGTGGAGCCCGAATGATCATCCAGAGCGTCCTGGGGCTCTCTCCGAGCGTGCTGGGACTCCCTGGAAGGGCCGCGGCGCCCGGCACCTCCTCCTCAAGCAGTGGCGAAGCCTCCTGGCTCGCCTATAGCCCCACCAAGCAATGTTCTAAGAACTTGTTCTGTGGTTGCCACGAAACGTTATCAGAACTTTTCTGGCGGAGCCTGTCTTATTTTATCACATCGGGTCTATCTTCTCAGAACATCGTTTTCGTTCTTAGAATACGTGTGGGTTCTGAGAACATGTCGTGGTAGGGCTACAGGAATGCCGGGGCGGTGGGTGCCTGCTCGACCTCCAGAGCCGGGACAGGCCGCGGCGGTCTCCGAGGCGGCCTGATCCCATGCTGTGTGTGGCCCTGGCCCTCGGGGTGTCGCCTCTGTCGCCGGCGAGGGGCCCCCCGGGGGGCAGCCGAACCGAGCGCGCGCGCCCGCGAGAGCTCGGGGCACCAAGTGTTGAGCAGGAGCAGGAGGAGCAGGAGGCTGCAGGGGAGGAGGGGGAGGAGGGGGAGGAGTAGGAGGAGGCGGAGGAGGAGGAGGAGGAGGAGGAGGAGGAGGAGGCGGAGGAGGAGGAGGAGGAGGAGGCCTCTCGACGGCTTCTGGGGGCACTCTTTGGGCCGAAGTGGGGCGTGGACAAGACGCCGTCCCCAGGCATGCGATGTCCTGACTTTGTCGTGCGGGGTCCCCGGAAGTCCCGACCCTTTCTCCGGGACCAGTTTCTCATCCCGAGTCAGGGTCCCGCGGCCCAGTGAGAGGGCCCCCACCCCAAAGGCCCACAAGGGCTAAAAGCCGTCCGCCGTGATTTTGTCAGGACGCGAGCACGTGTAAGTCAGGCCTGTCCCTCTACAGGATGTCGATTCAAAAATAGTAAGGACATACTCTGGGAACGTTTTTTTTTTTTTTTTTTTTTTTTTTTTTTTTTTTTTTTTTTTTTTTTTTTTTTTTTTTTTTTTTTTTTTTTTTTTTTTTTTTTCGTTTTTTGTCTTATTATTACTTTGGGGTGCTTGTGGAGTACCTATACGACCACCCCTCGGGTGATAAGAAGGTTGTGGGGGGGAGGGGGGGGGAACCAACATCTGACTCAATCGATCTCACTATCGATCTCACTATCGATCTCACTCAACGGGACACCACGGGACACCACGGGACACCGCAGAACACCACGGGACACTTGTCGGTCTCATTATCGATCTCATTATCGATCTCACTCAACGAGACACCACTGGACACCACGGGACACCATGGGACACCACGGGACACCGCGGGACACCTCTCGATCTCACTCAGCGGGACACCATAGGACACCACGGGACACCTCGGGACACCACATCGATCTCACTATCGATCTTACTATCGATCTCACTAACGATCTCACTCAACGGGACACCACGGGACACCACGGGACGCCTGCCGATCTCATTATCGATCTCATGATCGATTTCATTTTTGGGGGGACACCGCGGGACACCACGGGACACCACGGGGCTCAGTATCGATCTCACTATCGATCTCACTATCGATCTCACTATCGATCTCATTCAACAGGCCACCACGGGACACCGCGGGACACCTCTCGATCTCACGATCGATCTCATTATCGATCTCACTTTTTGGGTCACCACGGGACACCACCGGACACCTCGGGGCACCACATCGATCTCACTATCGATCTCACTATCGATCTCACTCAACGGGACACCACGGGACACCGCGAGCCACCGCCGGACAGACGGACGGACGGGCGGGCGGGGGAGAATCATTTGTCTTGACTTCGCCCTAGCAACGGCGGACACCACGGGACAGCACGGGACACCGCGGGACACCGCGAGCCACCGCCGGACAGGCGGGCGGGGGAGAATCATTTGTCTTATTTTCGCCCTAGCAACAGCGGGATCATTCCTCTCGCGCGCCCACGCAGCTTCGTCTCGCCCGCATGCACGACACGAACGAAACGACACGATTTCCCGGTTGGGGGTCTCCGTTCCACTGCGATCTCCCCCCCTGACCTCCGTGGTTTTTTGTTTGTACATATATATAGGTATATATATATGTATGTGTTTATTTATTCATTTATATATACATATATATATATGTTAAAAAAGCAATGTATACAAGTGGCACGTGTGTGCCCAGGCTCATACAAAAAAAACTGAAGGGGCGTTTGAAGCAGGAGTGAAATGCAACATCGAAATCGCACTCGAGCGCAAGTGGGGTTGCCACACCTTGCGATGTGTGTACCAGGGCCCCCAGGAAGCCTTAGGAGGCCCGACTTGGATATCAGAAGAGGCTCCAGGAGGCCCCAGGATTGTGAGTGTTGTGCGTGTGTGTGTGTGTGTGTGTGTGTGTTTGTGATGTATGCTTCGTGTGGTGCGTGCTTTTTGTGTGTTGTAGGTGTTGTGTGTGTGTGTGTGTGTGTGTGTGTGTTATGTTTGTCTAGCGTGTGATGTGTTGGGCGTGATTTGTGTCTCTGTGTGCATGTAGTTCTGAAGCCCCAGGAGGCCCCAGGAGGCCCCAGGCCTCAGGAGGCCCCAGGAGACCCCAGGAGGCTTCAGGAGGCCCCAAGAGGCTCCAGGAGGCCGCAGGAGGCCCCAGGAGGCCCCAGGAGGTTTCAGGACACCCCCAGGAGGCTCCGAGGCGGGGTCTGGGGTGCCAGAAGGTTCAGAAGGCCCAGGAGGCCCCAGGAGGTTCCAGGAGGCCCCCAGGAGGCTCCGAGGCGGGGTCTGGGGCTCGATTTTGGAAGGATTTTTCAAGCGAAACCGCCATTCACTGAGAATCGGGGTCACAATTATTGAAATTACCATGTGTTTTTGAAGGTTTTATGTTAAAATGTTGAATTTCCCATGTGTTTTTGGACCCTGACGTCGCGATCTGCGTGAGGGGTGCCACCGATTTTCAGAATTTCGAGGATGTCCCGAGCGAAACGCCCAGAAAAATCGCGGACGCGTGCGCATTAATCGCCTCTGAGCTCTACTCCCTCGGAGAGGTGCGTATGAGAATACACATATATATATATATATATATCGCCCGAAAACCGCCCGTAGGGGGACCTGCCCGACCTAAGAGCACGTCTGGCTTAGGCCCTCTGCCTTCGTCTACGATTCCCCGCGCCCCGGCCGACCTCCCGCCCGGGCAGCGCCCTGCTGTCGCAGCTGCGGGCCCTGGCCGCGGAGCAGGACCGCCGCGCCTCGCCCAGGGCGGGCGGAGGGCACCTGGACGGCGCGCTGCCCGGGTCCTGGCTGGGGGCCGACGAGAGCTGGGAAGGCGGCGGCTGCTCGGGACGATCGAACTTCAGAGGAGGAAGAAGTACCGATACCTCTACCCTTGAGTCTGGCCTGTCCCCCTACAGGGGGATTTTCGACGAAGAATAAAAGATACCCCAAACATAGTCAAACAATACATCCAAAATAGTCTGGGGATCATGTTTGTAGTATTTTCTGACCTTGGGGGGGTATTTTGGGGGTATTTTTGATATTTCGTCGAAAATCCCACTGTAGGGGGACACGCCCGACATGACTCTACCCTTCGCTCGCTTTCCCCTTTTTGGACCTCTGGAGAGGGGCCCTCATCGCCACCGCTGGATTCGCCTCAAGAGCTGTAGTCAGTCAGAACGCACCCCGCGAGAGGTCGGGGGAGTGGCGGTATCGGTACCTTTCGGTTTCCCCAGAAGTGGGTATGGAAAGACTGTGCATGAGGCACAACAGCAGCTCTTGCTCATGTTGGACAGACGCGCTGTCCGCGCCGCCGCGGACACTGTTCGTTGAAGACGAAACGCCGCCTGCCCAACAGCGGCCGCTGCCGGTTTTTGGACAACCTTTGTTGTGTGGCATTGCACCCATTTTTTCCGCACCCATTTCGGCCGTCCAAAGTTGCGCTCAAGAGTGGCCCTTCTCAGCATCGTTGTAACCTATCCGCGTCCCCATCAGGCCATGGTATTTTGGCCCTGCCATCCGGCCCCCCAGTTGGGAGAGCAGCCTGTATCCCCAATGGGGGGGGGGCAATCGGCCATGCCAGGTGGGATGGAGATCACTTCAGCGATGCCCACGCTCGCCAGAGTGACCCGTGGTGCGGGCCGACAGGGGTCCCCCCGGCACTGTTTTGCCCGCTTCTGCTTGGCCCCTGCGCCGCAGAGGCCTCCTCCTCCTCCTCCTCCTCCTCCTCCTCCTCCTCCTCCTCCTCCTCCTCCCTCCTCCCCGCGCTGGGGCGGCGCCTGAAGGGAGTCGACACATGGGCACTGCTCTCGTTCTGGAGCCACGCACCAAAGGTCACTCTTGTCTAGGGTCACTCCTGCGTGCGTAGCCGAACAGGCGGCGGCCACCAGGAGCCGCTGACGTCCTGCTCGGGCATGGGGGCGCGGGCGCGCCGCATCGCGGAGTGGTGGAAGGACTCAGGGGAGGAATAGGTACCGATACCGCCATGCTCGCCTTTTTGGGGCCTGCAGGGAGGCGCTCGTCGCCACCGCTCGATCCGCTTCGAAGTCTTCGCCAGAACGCACCCCGGCAGAGGTCTGGGGAGTAGCGCTATCGGTATCTCGGGCGGGGCCAGGACAGAGCGTTCCGGAACGATCTCAGAGCGTTGTGGAACGCTCCGAGAAGGCCGCGGCGCCCAATGCACCCTCCATAACCACCAGATCTCAGAGATCCCCGATCTGTCCCTGTCCGATTTTGTCCCTGTCCTGGCTTGGTCGCTTTGTCTTGGTATCCCTGAAGATCGACGGCGTGAACAAAACTGCACCTCTAACTAGACTGGAGCCCCAGAGGCACTCTTTTTCTGTGCCCTTTTGCGAGCTGGCAGGCTCGATCTGTGAGGGTCCTGGGGCCCGAGACTGTGCGAAGACACCTGGCTCGGAAAGACTGCGACGCCCAGATCCGAGGAGAGTGTTTTTACACCTCTGGGCCGGAACGCACGTCGTGCCCCCCTGCCCTCCCCCCCCCCCTCCCTGGCCCAGATGACGTCACGCTACCCCCCCCTTGTGCGTGCACCACAGACTGGGGGGGGGAGCGTTCCGTTATGCCCCCCCCGTCTCCCGTCCCCCACGTTCCCCCCAGCTAACGCCCGTCATGGCCGCGAATAAAGTGCGCTCGAGGGTCTTGTGGTTTCTTCGGCGTCACCCCAACATACTTGTGCTATATGTGCGTTGCCTTCCCAGGCGTGACGCGCGCACCGAGAACTCTCATAGTACACACGTCGTGGCGGGCACTTCCTGGCCACACCGCTCGGGAAACGATGCACTACAAGATGGGTGTACGATACGCTCGGGTCGGACGCGCGCCTCCACGGAGAACATCTGTAGTACTGGCATGTCTTTGTGCCTCCCAGTTCCCCGAGGACAGCCCCAGCCCCGAGATCCCCGAGGACACCGGCGCGCAGGAGGCCGCCCCGGCGCCGCTGCCGGAGCAGCGCCGCTCGGAGCAGCGCCTGCCGCACCCTTCGGGCCCGTCCCTGGCGGTGCCCGCGCTGCTCGCCGAGGGGGAGCCTTCGGTTTCAAATCATGGGAGCGTCGGCCGTGTCTACGCCAGTCCGTCATCAGAGCGCGTTCGAGCGCGCCGGCGTTGGGTAGTCGATGAGCGAGCGCCGATCTTCGAAGCAGGACAAACGCCATCATAGACTCTCGACGCTCCGCGCGGATTTCTTGGATCTGCGCTGGAGCGCCCTGGCGGCGCCTCTGGCGCCGCCCCTGGCGCCTCTCCGCGCGCCAGGGAGGGGGGTTCGGCGCAGATCCAAGACATCCGCGCGGACCGTGGACAGTTTCTGTATATACGCTGTCGTTTCTTCCTCTAGATCTGGCGTCCAGGAGCCCCGGTTTGACGTCGACCAGCGTCGGCGAGCGTGGACCCGCGGGAGCCAGCAAGGCCGTGTGGGAGGCTCCCGTGCGTTGCCGCCCCAGGAGCTGGACGACTCCTGGGAGGCCGCCAGCGGCCACGCCCCCGCGCGGATGCCGCCCCTCGCGACCCCGCGCCAGGCGCCGGCGGCGAGCTCCGAGCCCTACCCTCGCCGATCGAAGGCTCGGGCGACCCGATGGGCGCCAGGTGTCTAGTTAGGTCTGGCTCCCGCCGAGCACGCGGCGCACACTCCGAGCCCCGCCCCCGCCCGCCCTCGACGCGGGAGCAACCCACCGATGGCTCGTGGGGGTATATGTATGTATGTATGTATGTATGTATGTATGTATGTATGTATGTATGTATGTATGTATGTATGTGTGTATGTATGTATGTGTATGTATGTATGTATGTATGCATGCATGTATGTATGTGTGTATGTATGTATGTATGTATACATGCATACATGTATGTATGTATGTATGTATGCATGTATGTATGTATGTATGTATGTATGTATATATATATGTATGTATGTATGTATGTATGTGTGTATGTACGTATGTCTGTATGTATGTATGTATGTCTGTCTGTATGTATGTATGTATGTATGTATGTATGTATGTATGTATGTATGTATGTATGTATGTATGTATGCATGCATGTATGTATGTATGTATGTATGTATGTATGTATGTGTGTATGCATATATGTATGTATACATGCATGCATGCATGCATGTATGTATGTATGTATGTATGTATGTATGTAGGCATGTATGTATGTATGTATGCATGCATGCTGTATGTATGTATGTATGTATGTATGTATGCATGTGTATGTATGTATGTATGTATGTATGTATGTATGCATGCATGCATGCATGCATGCATGTATGTATGTATGTATGTATGTATGTATGTATGTTTGTATGTATGCATGTATGTATGTATGTATGTATGTATGTATGTATGTATGTATGTATGCATTTATTTACTTATTTATTTATTATATATAGGGCTCAGATGTCGCCCCTCCAGGCCTCCGTGCTGGACGCCGGGCTGGAGGCCTGGGGCAGCGGCGAGCCCCCGGAGCGCGCCACGCGGCACCGCGCGGAGCCCGCGGCCTGGGGCAGCCGCGAGGCCCTGGAGCTCGCCGCGCCGCGCCGCGGCGGCGCGGGCGCCGCGCGGCCGCCGGCCGAGGCGGGCGAGCGCGGCGGCGCGGGCGAGCCGCGCGCGAGCAGCGCCGCGGCCGGCAGCTGCGGGGGCAGCTCCTCGTCCAGGCAGGCCGCGGAGCCGCCCTGGCCCGCCTTCGCGCCCGCCGCCCGGGGCCCCGCGCGGCCGGCGGGGGGCGAGGCGCCCGAGGCCGAGGGCCCCGGCGGACGCGGCGCCGCTGCGGCCTGCGCGGGCGCGGCCCCGCGGCTCGACGCGGAGCCGCTGCCGGCGTGCATCGAGCTGGCGGTGCCCGGCGGCGAGAGATCCGAGCCCCACCTCTCCTGGCGCTCCGCGGAGCGGGCAGCTCCTTGGCATCGCTCGGGCGTGTGCATGTTTCAGTCGGCGAGGACCAGCGAGGAGCATCCTCGAGCACTTGGCGAAAAAGCCACGCGCGAAACCGACAAAAAAACACAGGGAATGGACGTCCGAGCGGTGGCCAGGCTCGAGGGGCGGCGGGGATAGGCGAAGCCTGCCCCCGCCTCCCGCCGACGCGGGCGGGTCGACGGTAGGGCGGTGGTCGGGGTCCGGCCGTCGCCGCCCAGGTGCGCCGGGCGCTGGAGGCGGTGGAGTCCATCCGCGGGGCCGTGCGGGAGGACGCCGCCAGGCGGTCCCGCAGCGCCCAGGCGGCGGCGTGGCCGGGCGCGGCGCCCGCCGCAGGCCACGCGGCGCCGCAGGGCCGCCCGGGCGGCGGGCCCGGCAGCGCCGCGGCCCCCTCGCGGGCACCAGATCCGGCCGCGCGCTCGCCGCCGGCGCTGCTGCCCGAGCCGCCGGTGGTCTGGGCCTCCCACAGTCGACTAGACGTAAGAGTGACCTTTCGCCGGAGTGACCTTTGGTGCGGGCACAGATGAGCCCCCAGGTGGCTGAAAACGAAGCAGTCGCAGCTGGTTGCGCGCCCAGGTTTGGCCCCCCGCGCGCCCCCGAAAAGCCGCGCACCACAGGTCACTCTTACCCAGGGTCACTCTTGCGTACAGCCGACACAGGGGCGCCGGAAGAAAAACGGGTTCGGCTGCGCCGACGTTGGCGCGGAAGTTGCCCGCTCAAGGTCGCTATGTCGCCGCGTGAGGTCGCTATGCCGCTATTATGCCAGCTCGCGTGGGACCAGGTTCCAATCGTCGCTCAAATGGGGTCCGAGCAGGTGGTCAAGACGAGGAACAGGTGCCGATGCCGATAGCCTTGCCTCGTTTTTGCCTTTCTTGGGCCTCCTGGGAGGCCCTCGTCGCCACCGCTGGATTCGCCGCGACATTCTACTCAGAACGCACCCTGGGAGAGGTCCAGGAAGTAGCGCTATCGGTATTCGTGTGGTGTCCCCAGATGGGATCGCCGATGCATCGGCGATGCGGCACGATATGGAAGCCGATCTCCTTTCCCCGCCCACCAAACCACCCCAACCCAATCCGAAGGCCCCAATTCGCCTTCACTTTCCAGTGAGGGGTGAGGGGTCGTGGAGCACCGACAAAAACGCACGTGCGGGACCCGCACCCCCCCCCTCCGAACCCGAACTTCGGGTCTTCGGGTTAGGTTGGGGTGGCCTGGTAGGTCGTCGTCTCCACGGCGACGCCGCCGATGCATCCCCGATGCGAGGCAGCGTCGACGCGGCGCGACCCTCCGACCAGCCGCGCGGGCCGCATCTTGGGAGGAGGCCTCCGCAGGTGGGCAGTGCCGCGGGCCTGGCACTGCCCCGCAGCCCCGCCCTCGCGGAGGCGGAGGCCGTGGCGCTGAGGCGCAGGGCGAGGGGCCCTCCTCCTCCTCCTCCTCCTCCTCCTCCTCCTCCTCCTCCTCCTCCATCTCCTCCGCCTCCATCTCCTCGTCCCCCTCCCCCTCCTCCACCTCCTCCTCCTCAGGAAGTCCAGGGATCGCTGAAGTGATGTCTTGTCGAGGGTCTGACAAAATACGTGGACTCTTCGTTCACCAGTTTGAGACATATCCCTATCCCTATGTGTTTGACATCACCTCACCTCGATGCCGATCTTAAGGATTCCCTCGGTTTCTGAGGGCCTATTCCTAAGATTGTCCTCGCTTTTTGTTCGCCCATCTTAGGGATAGGGATATGTTCCAGGCTGGTTATTCGTAGATCTACAGCCATGTTGCGCATTGATGGTGGTGGTTGTGGCTCTGGGTTCTGCCCAGGGGCGAGCTTGGAGGGCAGTCTGGTGATGCAAGTTCCAAGGAGGTCCAGGAGGTGATGATGAGGATGCGCTCCAGGATTTCCAGGTTTGCCTGCTGCTCCGCGCGGACTCCACTCGGGGAGACGTAAGACTCGGGCATGCCGGAGCTCAAGTCATTGCCGACGCTTTTTGCCGAGCGCGTCCTGGATTTTGACGGTCCAATTTTCGTGGGATGCTTGCAGCGGGAGCTCGCGTCAAATTTCAGATTGGGTCCCGTCATTTTCATGATGGCCCCGTCAGGCCAACCCGAGTCCCCCAAACCCGAGTCTCACGCCTCCCCGATCCACAGTTCCAGAGACGAAGGCCGCCAGATACTCCGGAACTCCCGGAGCGCCTCCCGCGCCAATCCAACCACTGCATCATGTTTCGCCTTCGTGCGCCGCGCTGACGCGGTGGATTTCCTCCAAACGCGGGCGTTTCAGGCGGAACGCCGCTGGTGGCTCGGAAGCGCTCGGCTTCGGGCGAGAGGCGCTGGCGACGGACGGACGAGCAGGCAGAGGCCCAGGCAAGGCACCCGGGCTGGCCCGTCAACTGGCGAGGCTGCAGCGCAGTGGCCTGAACGAGCACGCGCGCAGCGGCGAGCAAACGCTGTGCCTCCGGGGTCCTCGCGCGTGAATGCAGTACCCGACGAATGCGTCTTCGTCACAACGATATGCGCTGCCAGACTGCCGTTCTTTCGTTCGATGTGGAAGTGGTCAACGCGGTGTCAGGAACCATCGCCGACGCCATCGCGATGCGGACCCGCCGTTCCAGACCGCACAGCTGGTGTGGCCTCGTACAGTGGGAACCCATGCCAAGAAACACACTGCTTGCCTCCAGGGTGCCCTGTTTTTTGTTTTGGTTTTCGATAGTTTTGCTGTGGAGAGCGTGACGTTCCCACACAAACATCAATGGACGTCCTGGGGTCTCAGGGTTGGGTTTCTTGTGGAAGGTTTCTTGTGGTCGAGCTCCTACTGTACTCTCTTTTCCTTCCTGTTGCCGTCCTTGCAGCACTCTCTGCTACCTGTCCTGGTGCGTTCTAGGGCCCTCGTTGCCATGGTGCAGCCTGGCCCGCCACAGGCACGTGGGCATCGCACCCTCCTTCGGCAGTTCCTCGCAGCCGCCCCCGGGGACGTGCCCCTCCTTGGGGCGCGCCCACGCGTGCAGTTCTCCCGCAGATCTTGGCCTTGCATTTTGGTTTTTCACGGTGCGTGTTGTCGCCCGGTTTCGGGCCCCGGGACCCTCACAGGTCGATCTGGCTCGAAACGTGACGCAGAAAGGTCGGGTTTGGGGCTCCGGTCGCGATGCCTTACGATATACGTAGCACCCCGCAATTGCGGATAAGAGTGAGGGGGCGGGCGCGGGCGACGCGGGCGTCGAGCCGGCGGACCTCGTGGCCCTCACCTTCCCTGTCGATGGCGCCCTCCTCCTGCTCCTCCTCCTCCTGCTCCTCCTCCTCCCCCTCGTCCTCGTCCGCGTCCTCATCCTCATCGTCGTCGTCGTCGTGCTCTGACAAGTTCAGCGCGGGGAGGATCGCTGGTGGGCCCCCCGGAACGAATGCAAAAACAGCCCGCCGCAGGCGCCGAATTTTTGGCTTGTTCAGTGAACGTAGTTTGGGTCACGGGTGGGTCGCGGGCTCTCCACCTCCACCTGGAATCTATTCAAAAACAGCCCGCCGCAGGCGCCGAACATTTTGGGTGGGTCGCGGGGTGGGTCGCGGGTGGGTCGCGGGTGGGTCGCGGTGGTTCGCGGGTGGGTCGCGGGTGGGTCGCGGGTGGGTCGCGGGGTGGGTCGCGGGTGGGTCGCGCGGGGTCGCGGGTGGGTCGCCGGGGGGTCTCGGGGTTGGTCGCGGGCGGGTCGCGGGGTGGGTCGCGGGTGGGTCGCGGGGTGGGTCGCGGGTGGGTCGCGTTGTGGGTCGCGGGTGGGTCGCGGGTGGGTCGCGGGTGGGTCGCGGGTGGGTCGCGGGGTGGGTCGCGGGTGGGTCGCGCGTGGGACGACGACAACAACAAACAACAAACAACAAACAACACACAACAACACCAACAACACCAACAACAACAGCAGCAACAACAACAGCAACAACACCACCACCACCAACAACAACAACAACAGCAGCAGCAACAGCAGCAGCAACAGCAACACCACCACCAACACCACCACCACCAACAACAACAACAACAACAACGATAATCCGCATCGCGGAATTCCACTTCAGCCACGCACCCAGGGACAGTGAATGACCGTTCGGTTCAGCCCCCTCAGTCTGATCTATATACATATATGTACTTGCTTATTTTTGATATTTATCTATTTCGCGTGGTCGAATGAGAGGGCTTTTTGTCGGTCCGAGCCACGCCTCCTTCCTGCTCCCTGGGGCCTCCGGGGGCCCGGGGCTCCCAGAAAGCTCCCTGAGGCCCTCCCAGGCAGGGGCTTTCCTGTGCGACCCCCGCTGGGCTCTGCAGACCCTGCCTCGGGGCCTCCTGCGGCTCCCTGTGGGGCTCCCCGGGGGGCTCCTCCGGAGCTCTGCCGGGGGCTCCCGCGCGGCCCCGCGCCCTGCGCCCCACGACCGCCGCCGCCGCTGCCGTGCCTCGGCCTGCCCTCCGCGCGAGCGCGCGGGCCTCCTCCCCCCCCGCGCGCCGTCCGAGGCGCGAGAACGCGGCGCTCCGGCGCCGGCTGGCGGACCTGCACGCCGCCTCGCAGGCGGCGCGCGCTCGCGGGGGGGGGGGGCTCCGCCGCCGCGCGCCGCGCCCCCGCCGGCACGTGCCCG